TTTTCACTCGATAATTATCGATAGTTTTTAAAGATGGCGATACGATAAATATCGATTTATTTTTTTCTTGCCCATCCCTAGCCCACGGACGCTTGGGCCAACTCACGACATTCAATTTCGGCTGAAAATCGGCGCCGCAATGCTGAGTCGCTCCTTTCCGTCACTACATCCTTATTTATAAATTCCTTTTATTTTTATCCTTTGTTTTACTTTTTATTATTATTTTTTCCTCTTGTAATTACTTTTAGGTTATTTAATTTATTTACTTATTTTTTTTTAGTTTGTTATTTTCTTTTTGTTCTTTTGTAATTATAAACATTGTAACCAAATGTAATATGTGTGCAGATGAAGTATCGGATTAAATGTCTCAATGTCTTATCTATAAAAACGGCAAAAAAAGTCATGTTTGTTCTGTTTTATTGTATTTTTTGTTATAGCGGCAACAGAAATACATCATCTGTGAAAATTTCAACTGCCTAACTATCACGATTCATGAGATACACCCTGGTGACAGATGGACAGACAGACATCGGGGTCTTAGTAATAGGGTCGTTTTACCCTTTGGGGACGGAACCCTAAAAAAGGCGGTATTATAAATTGTAAAATAATAAATGACGAATAAATGACGGACTGTGACGCCATTTTTTTAAAAAAACAGCCCTTTGTAAAACGTTCAACAATTGCATGAAAAATTTGTCAAATTTGTCACGTGCAATACTTGAAGCAACACGCCAATAAATTGTACACGCACATACAAGCATGTGTTTAGACAAGTCAAAACTTGAAAGCAATAATCGCCTAAACATAATTGCATTGGTGTAAACTATAGACCTTTGCAATTATTTCCTGTCAAGACTTGCATACAATAATCGCATTCAATTTTTTTTACTATATCTGCGTGTAAACTGTTGCTTACAATTCTTGATGGTCAATTATTGCGTGCAACTTATTGCATTCAATTATTGCTCTTGTATGTACAAGAAAATGGTATCGTGTAAATGGGCCTTTACTCGCTTATTGATAGTCAAAAAACTACCACCCGGTTCGGAAAACAAAGCCACGGTACTGAGAAGAACCGGCAAAAGAAATTCAGGGGGATTTTGTTTTTTTTTTTTTGTTTAATTTCTTTTTTTTTAAATAAGCAGTTTGACGTGAATTCATTAAAATACAATATAAGAACTCCGATTGAAAGAGCCTGGAGCGATCAGTTCATTACCAGAGTGTGTTATCATTTAAATAATCATTAATATTAAAGTAGCCTTTAACACACAAACGTTCTTTTACTATTTTTTTTAATTTAGTCAATCAAAAAAAACAAAGTCATCACGCTGTCTGTCCGTCCCTATGTATGCTTAGATCTTAAAAATTACGCAACTGATCTTGATGCGGTTTTTTTTTAATGGATAGAGTGATTCAAGAGGAAGTTTTATATGTATAATACATAGCACCCGCGAGTAGCCGGGGCGGATCGCTAGTTAATTACAATCACCTTATACCGACGCCTTGTTTGTAAGTTTTTTCACTTCTACCAACTCATGGGAGTTTAGAGTAATTACCCTGAGAAATTGTCTGAGTTCACTTTTACTTTTCTCCATTATCTTGTCATTTTTTGCCAAATGCCATTGTACATGTATCAATTGTCGTTATCTGTGTCGAGTCGATTTCCGTACATTGTGCCAAATAACCTGACGGATCAGTGGGTTGATTGCTCTTCGAGAGATCGCGGTTCGAACTTCGTTTGCTGTTTGCGTTTGCTCGAGTCGCTTTTTTAGTGTTCCTTACATAAAGGGTAAAACGGGACCCGATTACTAAGACTCCGCTGCGTGTCTGTCCGTCTGTCATCAGGCTGTATCTCAGACACAATGATAGTTAGACAGTTGAAATTTTCATAGATGTTGATGTTTAACCGAGGAGCAACTTGATAAGCTTGAACGTATCCAAAAGCTCTGTATAAGATTCATATTTGGCTTACGTAAATATGATCATGTTTCACATTTCCGTTCTAAGCTCAAGTGGTTACCCATTCGACTTCGCCGGAATGCTCATATACTCTCCCTTCTATACAACGTTCTGTTTAATCCTTCGTATCCCCTTTACTTAAAGAAACGTTTCGAGTTTTTACACGAATCCCATCCACATCTTCTGAGATCATCAGAGAATTTGAAATTAAAAATACCTGCTCACAAAACAAAATTTATGGCTTAGTCCTTTATGGTTCAAGGTGCGAAATTATGGAATGCCCTACCTCTGGAGGTGAGACGTGCTCACTTTCCACTTTTAAAAACCTTGTCTAGAGTCACTATTTGTCACTTAAAATCTGGTTTAGATGCATAATGTATTAACTATGTTTATATATATATATGTATATATATATATATATATATATATATGTATATATATATATATATATATATATATATATATAATATATATATATATATATATATATATATATATATATATATATATATATATATATATATATATATTGTTATTTATGTACTCATTTATCTATTTATTTATTTATTTTTTACAACAATGAAAGTATTTATCTTATAAAATTTATAGTATTTTACCCACACCCCTAAAATATTCTTTTCATATTATGTCCATCCAAAGGTTGCCTGGAAGAAATTGCTTTAAGTAATAAGGCCGCCCATTGTACAACCCTTACATAATTGTTATTTTTAATGTATTTTTTTTACCATGGTGTGCGCAATAGAGAATATTCATTCATTCATTCATTCATTCATAGATGATGTATTTGTGTTGCCGCTATAACAGCAAATACTAAAAAACAGAATAAAAAAATATTTAAGTGGAGCTCCCATACAAGAGACATGATTTCTTTATATCGTTTTTATAATAACTAGCTGCTGCACACGAAAACGTTTGCGTAGAATAGGCAGAAGGCGTAACATTCAGACAGAAAGACAGTTATACATAAAATATGTATCACTTCACGCTGGTCCTGCCCACAATAAAAAAGATGATGCTCTGGAAATGTTTTTTGTTTATTTTATGCCAGAAGGTGCAAGCGCGCTGGCGGTTCACCTGATGTTAAGTGATAACCGCCGCCCATGGACATTTGCAACACCCGTAGGGTTGCAGATATGTTGCCACATTTGACAAAGCCAGTCAAGGCCCCGGCTACCTAACTCACCAGACGAAACGCAGAAGTATGACACTTCCCTTTCACGCCGGTCTTCTGTGAGGTCGTGGTACTCTTTCAGGCGGCCCTGCCCATTCGTGCAACAGCCGAGGCTGCTGCGTGGCTCTACCACAATGAGAATTCAACGTTGGCCTTTCAACAATTCTAAGCCAAGCCAACATTTCTAAGTCACCGGTTACCTCACTCTACATAACGCCTTTTTATGTGAATATTTGCCAAGCGAGTAGGTGGTTCACCTGATGTTAAGTGAATACCACCGCCCATGGATGGTTGCAGATGCGTTGACAACCTTTTGAAAATTGGGCCCCGGCCACCTCACTCACCAGACGAAACGCGAAAGTATTATGCTTCCAATTCACGCCGGTTTTTGGTAAATGACTGTATTTACTTTCTTTATCCCTTTCTACTTTCCACTTCACGCTGGTCTTGCCAGGAGTCTGTTAAATAAATGAAAGTCTTTTGCACCAGACATGTCTGTTCACGTGGCGTACTTTGAATCGGTGGTCTGGCACAATCAATCAATCAATCAATCAAAAATCTTTATTCAAATAGACGCTTGCGCCTTCTTATGAATCGTCAAATTTTACATAAAACTTCATACATAGAGGTTCGTAAGGTACCACCGGTTCGGAAAGCAGTTTCTGTTGAGAAGAGACCGGCGAGAAACTCAACAGCTGCTCTTTTACCGGTTTTATAATAGTCTTATAATAGTCCGGTTTAAAATACCGGTAGAATAGTCTTATTCTACTGTACGTGAGTATCAACAGTATTAACTCCGCACATGGGCGTCGTCGAGATATTCCGCAATAGTGTAATATGCTTTAACCATAAGTTGACTATTAATTTTACATTTAAATTGATCAAGCGGCAGACTTAATATCGACTGTGGGATTTTATTATACATGCGCACACTTTGCCCCATGAACGACCTATTTACTTTTTGTAAACGAAACAATGGCGTAGTTAATTTGTCCTTATTTCTAGTGTTTAATTTACGAACACACGAACCGATTGTGGGTTTTCTTTTAAATACAACGTAAGAGCAATTATTCTGGGAACGCGTCGACCGCACCACTTCCGCTCGTCGCCGGTTCGATTTTCGGAGCGGGTCGTGGCTTTAATCTGAGAGTAATGAGCCACCGCGGCCCACGTCGACAATCATCTCGGATGTCACTGTGAGAATCTCACTAGTGATGGATGTCTGTATCTGACTGATTTTAGTGATGGATGTTGGTATCGATGTATCGAACTGAATCTCACTCGCGGCTGTGTTCTCATAATTCTTGAAGAGAACTGGTGCATTATGAATAGACTTAGTGGTAAACGGTGGTAGGGCCAAGCAACAGTGTTCGCTGTTGCACGAATGGGCAGCTCCGTCCGGGTTAGTACCATGGCCTCGCAGAAGATCGGCGTGATGTGAAAGTGTTATACTTCTGCGTTTCGTTTCGTGAGTTAGGTCGGCTACCTACAATTTGTTAAAAGGTGTTACAAATGTCAACGGGCTGTGGTTACCACTTAACATCGGGTAGAGCGCCAGCAAGTTTGCCACCTTCTCATTTAAAACCCTACCACAGTTAAAATTAACTTTTCTCTCTTTAATAAGAGAACAGTCGATAAATTGATCGTTTAGGTGATGTCGGAACGTATCGACCATCGATACGTAGTTCCGGCATCACTAAACAATAAACCAGATCTTCATTACATTGTAAGTGGGTACCGAGGTCATAGCCGCGTTAATGAGACTACGTTCACACGGTCGTGACGCAAAACGGCGGAATCTGATGGGCAAAAACTCATTGTCACTTTACGAGAAACAGGTAAAAGAAAGATGGAGGTGGTTGGTATATACATGATGACTCCGTGGCGCAGTTGCCAAGGCATTGGCTTCGGCGTCGGGGGTCGTGGGTTCGATTCCCACACGGGCCAAATATTTGTGCGACCCACAGAGAGTTGTTTCGCATCTGGGCGTTTGTCACGTGAAATTTGTGTTTGTAAAACGTCCTTACAACAAAGGATAATGTTATCCTAAAGTAAAAAAAATACAGATATATTTATGTATTATCTATGTATAGGCAAACTATATTTGTAGCTGCGGTAGCTCAGTGTCTGGGCAATCTCTTTAATTTAAAATAGTCGGATTACCCGAGTTCTAATACCGGTACCGGCGCCAATGAATTTGTTAATTTTAAGTGCTGACTACCATGTACTGTGTGGCGAAGGAAAATCTCGTGACTTGAATATTTTCGCAATGATAAGGAAAAAGAAATATTAGAAGACGCATGAAATTCTGAAACAATGATCATCATAGAAGTCAACTAATCACCTGTCCAATTGGTTTAACTCTTTGAATTGGTTACTCTGATCATTAAGAAGATCATCCTGGCCAATTCAGAGGGTTTAACAATCCTTTTGGCAACTCAAATAACATTTAAAAAATTCATTTGACGGCTGATTAGTAGAAGTCACTACGATGATCAGTGTTTCAGAAACAGAAGAGGCCTTTGCCCAGCAGTGGGGCATGTATAGGCTGTTACTTACTTTTACTGACCAGGGCCTACTGTGTCCGCCTCGAGAGGTTTGCTGCCTTCGTAAAGTCCATTTACCCGTTCCAGTTGCTGCTCCTGTGGCTGGGCGTGGCAGCGCTGGCGGAGGACTCCCCGCCCGGCCTGGTCTCCAAGGACAGCGAGACAGACCTCGTGGCCGAGGCCTCGCAGTCAGGTAACGTCAAATCAATCAATCAAATCAAAAATGTTTATTCAAATAGAAAAATTATACATATAGGTTCGTAAGGTACCACCGGTTCGGAAAGCAGTTTCTGTTGAGAAGAGACCGGCAAGAAACTCAAATGTCGTGAAAGAAGCGTGATGAATGGTTCTAAAGGAGATCAGGACTATCTGAGAATCCAATCCTCAGTTGCTCCGCGTTCATTTAAGTACGAATACTAAACGCGTATTCACTCACGGCGGTAGGGCCACGCAGCAGCCTCGGCTGTTGCACGAATGGGCAGGCTCGGCCGGGTGAGTACCACGACCTCACAGAAGACCGGCGTAAAGTGGAAGTATAATACTTTCGCGTTTCGTCTGGTGACTGTGGTGGCCGGAGTCCAATTTAAGGTTGTCAATACCTACGGATCCCTCGGGTATAGCAGATGTCCATGGGCGGCGGTATTCACTTAACATCACGTGAACCGCCAGCCCGTTCGCAACCTTCTCACAAAAAGCCTTTCACTTAAATATGTGTAGTATTCGCATAAATAAAAGATAGTAATAAAAGTAGAGCTATGCGGTAGCTATTTCTCTATATCCATGTACCGACTCCATCTTGGAAGTATCATTGGCCGAAGACTGTTGCATTTAGTTCTAACAGAGAAAAGGCCGTCTCTACATGCATAATAATATGTTTATTCTTTTTTTTCTCACTCATAATCTATCCCAGATTGTTTATCGGCCGGTTTCAATATTCTACCGATCTGTAAATTTGGTTACTAGCGATAGATATTTGACATTAGCTCCATAATACCTCTATCAGTCAAAATATATATAGCCAAAACTCTGTCTCCAGTAAACAAATCTACATATACATATGTTTATAGGATACTAGCAGGCCGGCGCAACTTTTTCTGCTCCAAATATGTTATTAGCGGTCTCCATTTTGTTTCCAAACGCGAAAAATCTTAAAAAAACCTAGATCCCGTTTTCAGGACCATCTAGCGCCATCTATTGGATACTTACTCAATCAAGCTGTTAAATTAACCTTACACCGCCAACTGTTAGAATTTTGTAATCTCACCGATAAATATAGCCATATAATAAACAAATAATTTTCAATAAAATAATATTGCGACTATAATTTGAGATCTTATCTATCCTATCTTTCAAGTTGGATCAAACTGCACACGGTGTGCAAATTTGATTAAAATCTGTTAAATAGTTTAGGAGTCCATCGCGGACAAACAACGTGACACGTAATTTATATATGATAAGATTGTAACCGTCCTTAATTCACTTGTGTGACACGTTTCAGATGATCGTCTTCGTGATCATTTGAAAATTGACACACAAGGAATATTTCGAATGATGGTCATCTTGATCATTTGAGCATGTCACCCAAGGCCTAGCCATCAGACGATCGCCCGCTCCCTTGCCACTTCGAAAAGCAAATGTATTTTGAAGTTCAGGTTGTCGCTTCCAGGTGCCCAAGCTCAGAAACGGGACGCAGGCCTGTCCAACTCTTACGGGGAGCCACTCCCAGCTGACGCGTACGGACCCCCCCTGGATCTGCCGAACATAAGTGAGTAAATCACCTCCACTTACTGTTTCCATTACAGCAATTTCGCCCTTTCAACTTCTCAATTAAACACGAGATTACACATTATAAATTTTTTAAGTTTTTTTTTAATTTTAATTCCCGACGTTTCGATACACCGGTGTTTACGCTTTCAGTATTCAGTTTTTGAATGGATGATTTGGGAAATTAATAACACGGACTTATTTATGATCGAGAGACTCCGCAGCAGATTGGCAAACTTCATATATCTCCGAATAATTTTGTTTTATATAGAATCATCCTTTAATAAAGTGATTATTAAAGGAGGGCAACGCATCTTCAAACCTACCGGTGTTGCAAATGTCCATGCGCGGTGGTTTCACTTACCATCAGGTAAACCGCCAGCTTGCTTGCCACCTTCTCACATAAGAAAAAAATATCATTCACACAATCAAAAACGTGTTTTTTTGTAAATATACAAACATTTTACGAGTATTCATGGACGTCTCTATAAACCAGTCCAGAGAGAACCGACAAAAGACTGGAAAAATAACTCGCTGTTTCTTTTTTTTAAATAATATGCATGTCAAATCAGTAAAGCTTGACCTTGCGTTAGTTCCAGATGTCCAGTTGCCGGCACCGATTTATGGAGTTCCCGAAATCAAGAACAATATATTCCAAGACCCACCGCCTGGGGCGTACGGTCCCCCCGCGCCCGTCGTGTTCCCCAGCCAGAGCTACGAAGGCCCGCCGCCGCCTCTCTTCAAGCCGAAACCGATCTACGGCCCCCCAAAACCGAAACCGGTGTACGGACCGCCGAAACCGGTCTACGGACCGCCTAAGCCCGTCTACGGACCGCCGAAGAAGACGTACGGACCGCCGAAACTGTCGCTCCCCAAACCGACGTACGGTGCGCCTTTCAAACCGCCGAAGATAACGTTTCCTAAGCCCGTCTACGGACCCCCGAAACCGATCTACGGTGTGCCGAAACCCGTTTACGGACCGCCCAAAGTGACGTACGGAACGCCGCTCTTTAACGTTCCGAACCCATTGCCGGATTTCTCGCACGTGTCACTCCCGCAGATATCCTTCCAGAACGTAGGTAGCAGTGCCACCGTTGACCTGGGACTAAATCTCCCCGCGCCCATCTACGGGACTCCCCTAAGCAGCCTGCCCTTGGACTTGAAGCCGAACTTCCCGATACCCAGCGACACGTACGGCCCGCCCGGGCACTCCTTAGGCCCCATCGGACCCAACGATCTGGTCGTGCACGACGTCGACCACGCGGGCCACTACGGCCCTCCGCAGCCGGACCCGAACCCCAGGCCGCCTCACCCCGGCATCCCGGCCCCGCCGACGCCGCCCCACGTACTGTACGACGGCTGGAAACCGATCCCGGGCGTATCGAAGCCCCTCGGTCACGACCACGCTCAGAACCAGGTTCAGATCTTGGAGGATCAGTACGGACCTCCACCGCCGCCCCCCGTAGTTCAGGAGATCCATTTGGACCTCGACGTCAACAACAACGGCGGTCAGCAGTTCTCCGGCGCCCAGATCACAACCGGCTACTCCAACGTGCACCAGGACGCCTTGGCGAATATCGACTTGAACGCCTTAGTCGGTGGCGACTCGAACCACATCGACCAGTCCAAAACGGTCTTCGAGGCGCACTACACCGAGAACGGAAACCCGCATGCCGATTTAGCATAGTCCAAGCGGCCGTGCCTTCAGGGCTGGACCACCCAATAGACACGTACAGCGCGCCGCCGCTAGACTCCCTATCCAACGGCCCCTACCCGCCCTCCATCCGGCAGCAAGGGGCAAAAGGCCTCGTGGCGTCCGCCATCCACGCGCCCCACCAACACGTGGCTCCGCACAGACACGCGAACCTCCCCATTCCGTACGGCACGTTCTCGGGCGGCGGCCACTCGATACACACGGGCGGCGCCAGCCCCAAGCACCCGATAAAGTTCCGGGAATCTGTGCCCGAGGGGCTGATCCAGCAAATCGGCCACACTGTCCACCACAAAGACGTGCACGGCGTGGACCATCTGAAACAGGGGCCGGCCTACCTGCCCCCGCCGATCAGGGGGACGAAAGACGTGAACGCGCAGACCGGGAACCAAATCGAAGGCCTCTCCCTGTCCATAGAACCATCCAACCTGTACAGTCTACCGCATTCGGGCAACCCGATCAACTTCCAAGCGCAGCACGCACCGGACAGCCTGTACGGCTCGCCGATAGACTCGTATTCCGTGCCGCTGTTGACGGTCGGCGACCACACGGCGTCCGGGTCCAGCACGAACTCGGTGACCGCGACGGTCGACGGCACCGTCTTGGCGAACCTCTCCAACCTCGAAGCGGCCGCCATCTTGAAGCACTGCCCGTACCACGAGGCGATACTGAAGGCCGCCAAAGCGGGCGAGCGGATCCCCTCGGACCTCGCGTCGAAGTACGTCGCCAGCCTGAGCTCGTTAGGCTCCACCTTCTCTAAGAGCCACCAGACCTTGGTATCCCCCCAGAACGGCTTCAACAAGCCGGCGCCGGGCAGCGAGTCCGTCTCCTACAACACGAAGGACCTCTCCACCGCTTCGCACACGCTCGTCGAGACGATCCTGCCGGACAACGTGATCAGAAGTGAGAAGACGGAGAAATCGAGCGTCCAAAAGGGCAAATCACTGAAGGACGACTCCGGCAAACACGGCTACAAGCACGAGAACAGCCTTAACCTGGTCTCGGAGCAGATCTACCACACGTCAGAGAAAATACGCAACCTCAGCGAGGAGGCGAACCAGTTGCAGCAGAGGCTAGTGTCCAACAGCCAGAATTTGAACCAAGTGAACGGTCAGATCGGCCAGTTCGGCCAGGGGATCCCCGTGAAAGGCAACCTGGCCACCTACTCGCTGCAGATACAGTCAGCAGACGACGGCAAGGGGAAGTCCAGCTCGCCCTCAATACCGCACGAGCAGCTGCTCTCAGAAGGCCTGCTGCAAAGCATCCTCCAGGCGATAGAACAGCCCCAGCCGCAAAAGCAACCGAAGATCCAAGTCCCAACGAACTACGATTTCAATTTGGACGCCCAAAAGCAAACGGTCACTCAACCCGGCTACTTTACGAGCGCAGACAACGGGGGTCTCGTCCTCCCAGCGGGGTACGAACCAATAGACCGGACGAAGGAGAGACGCAACACGGACCAAGAGACGCAGGGGACGAAAGACGTGCACCAGACTTTGCAGAGCGAATCCCACACCAGACCTGACCACAACTGCGACCTCAAAGCTGACCACTCCGTCACCCACTCAGTGGTCGTTCCACCGCCGAGCGTGGAGAACGTTCGGCAATTGAACGACGTGGAAGACAACGATGTCGCGATATACTTCGGCGAGAGCGCGACGCGACCTGCTAGTTCTGAGCCGGTGACGGAGATCTCGATGTCGACCAGCATCAGTGAGGATCGTCAGCGGAAGGTGGGCTTCGGCGGGAAGGTCGAGAGGAAGCGGTCGTAGACCGAGTAGGGTGGCAGCTTCTAGTCCGATACACCAGTGAGCCAGGAAACAGAGTCTAAAGCAAAAGAATAGTACAAAGGTATACATAGGTTTTGTAGGTTTCGCAGACGAATTCTCAAAACAGAAATTAGTTGAGTCTATTGTTTGTAGACCGTGAGATTTTTAAAAAAAAAATCTACTTTTCTTTTTACACGTGTAACACAAAAATAACGAAAGTGAAACTAAATAAAATCCATAAAGAAATATCAAAAAAAAAAACTAATCAGAAAAGACTTGCCATTTTTAATTCTTTATAACTATACCAACTTTGTCGCCAAATTTCTTGTCAAATTTCACGTTAGTTTTAATGCGAGTTCAATAAAGCAAAATATTATTTTCTTGAGCTCACTGGAGCCATTTTATAGGCTTAAATGAAAAATTCCATTTAAAATTTCACGCAATATTTATAGTGTGACGGCCATTAAAGACGAACCTTGGCAGATTTATTTCAACGATAAACCCGCCAAGGATAATTAGATTCGTTTCATATGTTATTAATTTCATATTAATCGATATGATTATCTTATTTATACTATTAATTTAGCTATTAAGAAGATTACAGTATTTGGGTGTGCGTGAGGACATAGCGGACATTGTGACGGTTATTACGTGAAAGAGACAAAAGCTGTTCCCGTCTCGCTCGCACGTAATGGGTGACGCAATCTCCGGCTGCTTGTCCCCTTATTTATTGTATAGTCGATTCGAATGAATAGTTTTCTGTATGTACAATTTTTGTACAAATATTCTATATTCCATGTAAGTTTACGATTAAAGACCTATTGTATAATTCTTGTTGTTTGTTTGATTTCTTTGACGTTCTAGAAGCACTATGAGAACTTATATTATTTGTAACTACATTTAACAATGGGAACCGGTGTTCGTTACTTCACAAATATTATTGCATATTTTGTTATCAGAAGAACTTATTTTACCATTACATGGTCGAAGGATGTACCAAGATTTTGTTCCTATAATTTTGGTATAGGTGACGATATAACAAACGTCTGGTGAGTGAGGTAGCCGGGGCCCATTTTATTTCCTGTTGGCAACGCATTTCCAACCCCTAAGGTGTTTACACATCAATGGGTGATGGGGATCGCTTAACATCAGATGAATCGACTGGGCCTTTGACACTTTACGTCAAAAATAACATTAGAAATATCAATCCAAAGCGAAAGCCTTGATACAAGGTAAAGAAAGTGCACTCTAATGAGTAAATTGGACATTAGAACCCTCCGCACATACGTGCTAATTTGATGGTATGTCGCTAGATGGCACTTTCCTGTATACATAAAAACAACGAGAAACGTAAGAAGATATAATACATAGTAAACAACACTTACAGAATTCTTCGTTTAAATTGTAATTATGCAGAAAATAGTATATCAGGAGGTGAATATGGATTTTGTTCAAAGGATAATTCGGAGCAAGCGAAACTCTCGCTGTCTTTTTCAACTATCTATATAAATAAAATTATATTGCTCGGCCGAAAAAACTACTGAATAGATTTCAACTAATTAATTTCCAAGTTTAAATCAAGCCGTGATAACTCAGTGTCCGGGCGCTCGCCTTTAATGCAATATACTCGAGCAACCCGAGTTCGATCCCCGGTGTCGGCACCAATAAAATTGTTAATTTCAAGTGCTGAATTATCACGTGCTCCGCGGTGAAGGAAAACGTGAGGAAACCTGCATATTTTCGAAATAGTAACAAAAAAAAAGAATATTTCAAAGATATGTGAAGTCTGCCAATCCGCAGTGGGGCCGTGTGTTGGACTGTGCTCTGATACCTTCTGTACAAAGGACGCCTATGCCCAGCAGTGGGACATGAATAGGCTGTTAAAAAAGTGGAGTAAACGGTGTAGTTGTTAATAATTATTTATAACTAGCTGTGCCCCCAACTTCGTCCGCGTGGAATTTTAAGTAAAAAAAATCTAAAATAAAAGTAGCCTAAGCTACTCCTTATTACATCAGCTATCTGCCAGTGAAAGTCCCGTCCAAATCGGTCCAGCCGTTTCAGAGATTAAACGGAACAAACAGACAGACAGACAGACAGTCAAAAATTGTAAAACATGTTATTTTGGTATATGTACCGTGTATACATCCATATGCATTTAGTAAAATGCAGTTGTTTTAATATTACAAACAGACACTCCAATTTTATTTATCTGTATAGATTAGCTGCTGTCTGCGACTAAGTCTGCGTAGTGGCTGAAGGCGTAACATTCAGACAGAAAGACAGATATAAATAAAAATATGTATGTAAACTATAGCCTATGTGTTCTGATGTATGAGATATATTATTGTAAAGTTTCATTAAAATCCATTCAGTTGTAAATTAGAAAGAGTAACAAACATCCAGCCATACATACAAACTTTCACCTTCATAATATTAGTAAAGATAAGCAGACTCGAAGTCACGGCTTATTGTTAAATTGTTAATTTAAACCAATTTGTTTCAATTGTTTAATTTTAGTTTAACTCCCTATTTATCGTACAAAATCATTATTGTGCTGCTAATGTTTGTATAACAGTCTATCTAAGTTTTTACATTTTACGAAAAGAAAAAATTCTATGGACTCGTTGGGCAATTTTGGATGGGGAAAAATGGATATATCATCGACGTTGGTGACGTGAAAATTTTGACATCATTAGGTTATCTAATATTACATTTTTGTAAAACACTGTCCATCTGTCGCGACTTTTAAAATTAAAATTCTTTTTTATTGCTTTATATTGTCAGAAATAAAATAACCCTTTCGTATTTTAAATTAGTGTTTTGCCATTTCGTTTATTCTTAATCTAATTCAATTAGAAATAAAAATGAAACAGACATAACGGGGCGTTATTGGCAGTCCGTACCTGGCCACCTGTAGAGGGTGGTTTAAGGGACTACACGCGCGATTAAACACACTCACTACCCTTAATTAAAGGGTTGCGCTTACTGCACTGGAGGGCGGTTTTCTTTCGTATAAATTTATAATTGTAACTCACTTTAATCTGGTGATAACTTGTATTATATTCGTCCGTTTGCGTAGAAAAAATTCGCATAAAATGTCTAAAGAGCCTGCCTGGGGTAGTTAAAAATTTGACGCCAGTTAAGAGCAAATATGGCTGCGAACGTGTGAGTAATAACACTACCGCAGTCTCCAGCTATTATTCTATTATTAAACGTTTGCGTTATAGAATGTTAGGTATCTGTGATCAACATTTATAGTATACATATTTCAGACCATATTTTGACGTAGCGTTATCGAATTTCAAACGAGAAAAGCTTACATTATAAGTATATCTGATAATTATTATTCGTCTCTTCTTGACTTTTGTGTTTTTCTTCTTATTTCTTTCTCTGTGGCGTAGTTGCCAAGGTATTGAATTCGGCGTCATGGGTCGCGGGTTTAATCCCCACACGGGACAACTATTTGTGTGACCCACTGGTTTCGCACCTGGCTGGTTTTGCACGTGAAATTTACGTTTGTAAAACGTCCTTACAACATAGGATAATGTGTTTTTAGGACGAAATTATCCTAAAGTAAGTCCAATGTATATTTAAAGAAAGAAAAACAAAAAAAACTTTAAAAAAAATTGTGACGAAATTGGCAAACTGGCAAGCGGTTCACCTGATGTTAAGTGATTACCGCCGCCTGTAGACACCTACAACACCGGAGGGTCGTAGATGCGTCGCCAAGTTTTAATAAACACGTTTAAAAACTTTAAAGTTAAACGGTTTTATTTTATATGCACTGAAAACTACAATATTGCATTGTCATCTAAATTAAATGTGTGTACCAAATTTCAGATCAATCTGACAACGGGGAGGTGCTTAAATTTCAATTTCTAATTTTGACCCAAATAAATAAACAAATTCCGTACGGGTCGAGCTAAATAAAACCGTTTAAAAACGTAAATGTCGCCACCTCACCACACTAAACGCAAAAGTATTACACTTCCACATACATTACGCGCCGAGACATTAAGATACTGCATCGCCACAGTTAAAACGCGTAGTTCGTCTTTTAGCCAAAACCGCCTCAGCTTATGGACTCGCGGGCGATAAACAAACGCTCCGCGCATCACCACGCCAGCTCCCGTGGCCGCTCAGGCGTGCTTTATGGCCCTACATTCGCTCAGTTTGACACTGCCTGTCGAACTGTAAACAAAGGCCGCAAAGAGAGGCACACGGCTCCAATAAACACGTCTATACATCGCGACGGCGCAGTACAAGACGCATTGATGAAGTATACGACGACTGTTGCCGGCTGTGAGTATTAATTTGATTGCTGTCTCATCACCCTGCCCTCACCCCATCTAGGCTTTTTTTTAAGTTGCCAAGCGAGCAACGTTCACCCGATGTTAAGTGAATACCGCCGCCCATGGACATCTGCTACACTCGAGGGTTACAGATGCGTTGGCTACCTTTTGAAAATTGGGCTCCGGCCACCTCACTCACCAGACGAAACGCGAAAGTATTATACTTCCACTTTAGGTCGGTCTTCTGTGAGGTCGTGGTACTTACCCGGACGAGTCTGCCCATTCGTGCAACAGCCGAGGCTAATCATGCACTAAGCAGTCTCTGCTATATTTAATTAACAAAGATATTAACTTAGAAGTCTTACTTATACACTAAAGGAAAACGCAGAATGCGGCTAACATACTTCACTACGAGCGATTTTTTAATTAATTTAAACTCGTTTCAAACCAAAGGCTGTCTCTTTCTTCAAAGGAATATCGTAAAGAAGTATTTATGCGTTTGCCCATCGTTCGGTAGTGAGGTAACCTGGGCCCAACTAGAGGTCTAACGGTAGGAGAAAAGAGGAAGAATAAGAAGAGGTCACATTAACGGCTTCCTCGTCAAACCATCTCCTTTCGATAGAATAACTTTGCCACTTTTTCCGTATCAATGTCTGGTATCTGGAGCTAAAAATATACACTCACTAGCGTGTAAGAATCGATATGACTGTGGCTATGAAAGACCAGTGACCTTTAAAATATTCTAAATTGGCATGCTGTTTCATTTCAAGATAATAACTTGAGTCTCCTATTAAAATGTGGCAGGGCCACGCAACAGTGTTCGCTGTTGCACGAATGGGCAGCTCCGTCCGGGTTACGACCACGACCTCACAGAAGACCGGCGTAAAGTAGAAGTGTTGCAGTTCTGCGTTTCGTCTGGTGAGTGAGGTAGCCGGGGCCCACTTTATTAACAGGTGGCAACGCATCTGCTCAACCCTACGGGTGTTGCAAATGTCGTAACCGACAACTCGTTTGCCAATTTCTTACGTTAAAAAAATAATAATTAATTGTATATTGTTAAAAAGTTGGCAAGCGAGTCGGCATTTCGCCTGATGTTAAGTCATCAATGGCATTTACAACACTTCACGCTGGTCTGCGAGGTCGTGGTTATTCTGCGGATGGACCTGCCCATTCGTGCAAATCTAAGCTGCATGGCTACCAGGAGATAAGAAAGTGTAAAAAAAAATAGGAACCCTTCTTCTTTCTTGGGGTTCCGTACCCAAAGAGTAAAACGGAACCTCATTACCAAGACTCCGCTGTATGTCTGTCCGTCTGTCACCAAGCTGTATCATGAAGCTTGATAGTTAGACAGTTGAATTTTTTACAGGTGGTGTAATTCTGTTGCCGCTATAACAAAAAATATTTTTTAGGTTCTCATACAACGGACACGACTTTTTTGCCTTTTAGATAGATAATGGTACGGAACCCTTCGTGCGCGAGTCCGACTCGCACTTGGCCGGTTTTTAAAAACATTGTCGTTACTTTAGGATAACATTATCCTGTGTTGTAAGGACGTTTTACGACCACAAATATCACGTAGACAAACTAGATGCGAAACAACTATCTGTGGGTCACACAAATAGTTGTTCCGTGTCTGGCTCGAACCCACTACCCCTGACGCCGAAGGCAATACCTTGGAAACTGCGCCACGGAGTCATCTAGCCTCTCACGTTACAACATACTTCATTAGCCTTCTGTGTGCAGTAAAAACGAACGCGTCGAATAAATATAAATAAATATTTTGTGGACACATTATTACACGACGTTCTAGTCAAATACTAAGCAACGCATGTACTATGGGTACTAGATAACTGATAAACGATACTTAAACATACTTTTCTTCTGAAAATAAATACATATTGTACATATATTAACACACAAACACTAGAAAAACACCATGTACATCACACAATACTTATCCCGTAGTGGGGATCGAACCCACACCCTCCGGCGCAGAAGGCAGGTACGCTACCCACTACGCCATTCGGGTCGTCGTAATACAGAATCAGCTAGCGTATTGTGAACTGTTAATTATAAATCGTCCGAAACAAAACTTCCACATCGCCGTTTGGAAGTTAGTTAATTAATTCCATTCCATCCGCTTTGTTTCGGAACGACTTCCAACGGTTGGTCCTTCGGTCCATCGGCCTTCGGGAGATGGTAAAAATCGTCACGTAAGGAGAAAGCGTTGTGCCCTTTACATCGACTGCGTTTTTCATGTGGCAGCTGAGTAAAAAACGTGGGGCAAATCGAATCAAATGAAATTTCTTTATTTGCTAGTTAAATATAGGTAAAAGTAGAAAAAGTAACAGCCTATACATGTCCCACTGCTGGGCAAAGGCCTCCTCTATACAGAGGGCATCAGGGCATAGTCCACCACGCGGCCCCACTGCGGATTGGCGGACACATATCTTCGAATTTTTTTTTTCGTTATTATATCAAAAATATGCAGGTTTCCTCATGATGTTTTCCTTCACCGCGGAGCACGTGATAAGACAGCACTTAAAGTTAAAAACTTCAGTGGTGCCGGCACCGGGGATCGAACTCAGGTTGCTCGAGTATATTGAATTAAAGGCGAGCGCCCGGACACTGAGCTATCACGGCTCTAATATAGGTACAAAAATATTTTGTTCTTGGTGTTATCGAAATATGTTGACAGAACCTTCTGTAAACTGTATTCAATAGCATGCAAATATCAATAAATATTACTTTAATTAAAATAGTTTCTTTTCTTTAATTAAATTTTACTAGGCAAACGAGCTGGTGGTTCACCTGATGTTAAGTGATAACTGCCCCCCCATGGACATTTGCAACACCCGTAGGGTTGCATATGCGTTTCCACCTTTTAAAACGTGGGCCCCGGCTACCTCACTCACCAGTCGAAACGCCGTCGGTCCGTCCGGGTTAGTTCCACGACCTCACAGAAGACCGGCGTGAAATGCAAGTGAGTGAGGTGCCCGGGGCTCACTTAATATACGGTGCAACATTGCTAACTTCACACATTAAAAAAACACTTCCAAATCTTTGCAGCCGAACTCCGCCATGCAGAAAAGCGACCGCTTGTCTGAAGACAGGGAACCGGAGGTGAGGAGTCGACCTGGCTCTAGACGAAACTCGGGCACCCTCTCCAGGCGAGGCAGTGTCAAGGAGGACGGCAAGGACCCCAAGAGGGGTGTGAACACAGCGCCAGGCTCCACCAACTCCACCCCCAAAAAGACGCAGAAGGGGCAGAACTTCGATTTTGTTGTGACCGGGAAGCAGATAACCAGAAAGTACGTCTAATGTCGTTAGATAGGACAGTAAAATAAGAGCCTTAATACGTGAGAAATTCTCTAGCATCTAGTTACGATCTCTACTGTCTAATATGTTTAGGAGCATCATCGTCATATAAGGCTGTTTGAGTTCACTGCTGCTCTTCTCGCACATTTGCACTGGTTGTCACTCCATTTAGTGGAGGCTCGTTCTACACTGCGATGGCTAGAACGAGGTTGCCGCTTAAGAACGTTTCTTCCCTATCGGTTATCGGTTTCACGGGCTATATGGCCGGTCTACCACCGCTCCAGCTGATTAACCCATGTTGATTACCTATGATCTGATACTGCAGATGTCTTCATCGCGATACCATGCATAGAATGTCCATATACAGAACAACTATACATAACATTCAAAATACGAGGATCAAATTGGAGGAGTTTTTTGCAAGAACTAGAAACAAAATATTCGATATTATAGTAACCAAAAGAGTGGTTTCAGGGCAGACCGCGCCAGCTCCCTCCCGGGCTCGCACCGGCGTCCCTCCCTGGACTCGATGCAAAAGCAGAGGAAGCCCTCAGACCTTACAAAGAGACTGGCAATGTCCCAATCATCCAAGAGCAGGGACACTTCCATTGAGGAGGACATGTCATTAGAACTGTCGCAGGTGAGAACTCATCAACAACTTTGCTGTTGGCTATAGCATAATGAGTTTCAACGGATTTAGAAAGGAGAAACACTATTGTAAGAGACAGTAAATAAGGACCTATGATATTGGTAATCCAGCGATAGGTACGACATTTTCTTTGACACCTTGTCTTTGAGAGACAATAATGTCGTTGTTACAAAAACGTTCCACAGTGGTAGGGCCGTGAAACAGCCGAACCTCTTGCATGGCTGAATAGGCAGGTCCGTCCGGGTAAGTACCACGAACTCAGAGAAGACCGGCGTGAAGTCATGCTTCTGCGTTTCGTCTGGTGAGTGAGGTTGCCGGGGCCCACATTATTATAAGGTAGCGCATCGGTAACCCTACGGGTGTTACAAAGGTCCATGGGCGTTTATCACTTAACATCAGGAGTACCGCCAGCTTGTTTGTCACCTTCTCACACAAAGAACTTGTCTCTGTTACTGCTCTAGTGTAAGCCGCTCCTTCCAGGTCTCTGACTTTGAAGATATGAACTCGAAATACGGAATCAGGCACAAGTTCGCGGCCCTGGCGACCTCCACCCCGAAGAAGACCAGGAGCGGCTCTTTGCACAGCCAACCCCTAGCGAAGGAGGTCCCCAGACGAGTGCAAAGGAGTTTGGACAGTAAGCAGAGTGCACAGAGCACGTTTTCCTGCAGCAGGGATAGCCTCTACAAGACCTCTTCGTCCAGTGGCTACAGGCGAGTGTTATTTTGTTTTCGCCAAAGTTTTACTCCACTTTATCAAGTCCCCAAATAAAGAAAGCTTGAACTAGGTACTAGGTGACTAAACAACCCTCATCGTATACACCATTTTATTCACAAAATTCAACGTCATCAGCACCATATTCGTCAACTTTATTAAATACTTTTATTTAAATAGTTCTTCTTTGTCTTTACAATTTTTATTTTTGTTATTTTCGTAAAAAATACTGTTTTTTTTTTTGTTATATGTCTAAAATCAACTACTGTACTAATCCTTCGTTAGTATTTAATTTATTTAATTCTTTTTTTTTTAGCTGTTGTCAATATAAAAACTTTTGATGTCATTTCACGTTTAATTGAGATACCATTTAGTTTAAGATGCATGTACTTGTTTATGTATTTCTAAGCATGTCTTGATGTGTATCTTCAAAAAAAGATTTAAAAAAAAAAAATCTTGTTGATGATGTTATTTACATAAACGTCATCGTCATTATTGACACCGTCATCATCTAACTCAACACTTTTGTCTGGTTCCTCAACGTATGTGATCTTATTATCGCTTCGAAGTGTAAACGATGTTCGCTCTTGCCCAGGCACGCTATAAGCACCGAGCTCGATTGCTCCTCAGTGTCTCCGGAGTACTCAGCGCCATCGTCCGTGGGTTCGCTCGGAGCTCACCCGGACACCCTGGTCTCGCCGCGATCCCAATACCTCAACGACTCCAGGTATCTATACTCATAACACTTTTATGGTTAACATAGATTCTCCAGAAGACCCCTTTTCAGCTACTGGTATTGGCAAATTAAGTTGTTCTGCGCTACATTCAGAGAGCTTTAAGAGGGATTTTTTTATACATAGGCGTTCAATGTATCGGTGACATATTAATGATGAGGGTATTATATCATCTCATTAGGTAAAGACACTCTTTGAGGGAACTATAAAATTTCATTCAATTGTCACGATTCGTGTTCAAGACATCATTACGAAAAAGCAACTACGATGACTGATAGGACAATGTTAAAGAATAAGAAAAGATCCAAAAAGTATTCACGAAGAAATACTTTTTGGATCTTTCCTTTTTTTACCGTTTTTTTTTTACCAAGATTCTGCTCTTCCATTATCTAAGATACAGAAGATTCAAAAGTGATCGTGGCAGAAATATATCAATGAGTTTTCGCACAACTCTCAACTGTTGTAGGGCCACGTAACAGTTTTCTGTTGCACGAATGTGCAGGTCCTGGGAAGTACCACGACTTCACAGAAGACTGACGTGAAGTTCATGAAAGGGAAGTTTCATGCTTCTGCGTTTCGCCTGGTGAGTGGGGTAGCCGGGGCCCGCCTCATTGAAAGGTGGCAACGCATCTGCAATAATATGGGTGTTGCAAATGGCCATGGACGGCGGTTTTCACTTCAGGTGTTAAGTGAAAACCATAAAAAAAAACAACGGGAGATCCGTTGCGTAGTTTTAAAGATCTAAGCATACAATAGGGACAGACAGACAGCGGAACGACTTTGTTTTACTATGTAGTGTCGTCGTATACCGTCGTTATATTCATAGACACAAACATTATAGTTTTTTCGTCAAGCACGCGGTAGATCTTGCTTTTGGGGTCGGGTCACTCGAGTGTATTCCATTGACAGTTGCTGCGTGAGCGCGTGGCAGGAGAGCGGCGGGGCGGGGGCGAGGGGCGCGTGCGCTGAAGGCGAGTGGGCCCACTTCTGGGCGCAGTACAACGGCCCCGAGAGCGCGCGCCCTCTATACGACCTGTGCCCCACGCCGTACCGAAACGAAGACCTTGACCTAATTGACTTCGGTGAGTGACTACCGCCTTTATTCCCCTTTCTGTTGTACCACTTCCAACACTGTAAGTTGGACACTGCATTCTTTTTAAGGGAAAAGCTGCCAAGCAAGCTGGCGGGCCACCTGATGTCAAATGAATACCGCCGCCCATGGACATCTGCTACACCCGAGGGTTGCAGATGCGTTGACAACCTTTTGAAAATCGGGCTCCGAGCACCTCACTCGACAGAAGAAACGCGAAAGTATTGTTCTTCCACTTTATCGCCGCATTCTTAACGGTGGTAGGACCAGGTAACAGTATGCGCTGTTGCACGAATGGGCAGGTCCGTCCGGGTTAGTACCATGAACTCACAGAAGACCGGCGTAAAGAAGTGTTATACTTCTGCGTTTCGTCTGGTGAGTGAGATAGCCGGGGCCCACATTATTAAAAGGTGGCAACACATCTGCAACCAGTGTTGCAAATGTCCATCGGCGGCGGTTATCACTTAACATTCGGTGAACCGCCAGCTCGTTTGCCACTTTCTCACATTAAAAAAAGGTTCTTCTGTAAGGTCGTGGTACTTACCCGGATGAGCCTGCCCATTCGTGCAACAGCCGAGGCTGCTGCGTGGCCCAACCACGGTTACTACAATAGATCTTCTGGGTCGCAGTGGTCCTTGAGACTAACTACCCAAACTCTTTTACATAAAATACAACGACAGATGTTGCTGACCATTCGGACCGAGTCTGTTATTAAAAGTTGAACTCTACGCGAAGAATCTTTAAAGTTTGTGTTTCCTTACCGATCACCGACACCTTTGGGTCACTACAATTGAACTTTACTTCCAGAATTTTCCACCGAGGGCTCCGTTAAGAGAACTCCTGATAAACTGGCGACGGACGACGCCGTGAACGCAGGTGGTCTACATTTCACTGAACGGGAGGCGAGGAACATCGCGAAATGCGCCCACATCCTGAGCAGCGTCGTGGCCAGAGCGGCAGAGAGGAAGGCCAAGGATCTGGAGACCAAAGGGCCGACGGAGAAGATACAAGAGCTACAGACCGCGGAAGACGAGGCCGAGAGGGAGTTGAAAAGGAAGAATCTAACGCTGGAACTGAGGGAGACCAACCAGCCGGCGGAGGCCGCAGAAGAGAAGAGATGCGAGACAGTGACGACACAAACAGATATCTCCCTCCCCAACACGAAGAGTGCACCGAAGATCTTCGAGAAGATTCTGCGACAGCTTTCCAAGAGTTCCATCGACGACGGCGTAGAGAAGAGGGCGCAGGAGAGCAAAGAGGAGAAGAAGGAAGACCCTCCGACTGGGTCTTAATCGTAGCGATGACCGTCTGGCAGACCTTAGGTGACATAGAATTGTTCATGTACAAAGAACTAAAGAAGAACGATCTTTAGTTCTTTGTACATGAACAAAATACTGTAACTAATAAAATACAGGGTGAAATTGAAGTCATTAGCATCCTTTTAAACTAAGAGCATATACATGATACTGGTTACATTAGAACGGCGGCTCGCCTTTTGCTTTGTGCAGGGCCGGCCGTACCTAAGGACCTTTAACTTGAATTATTACATAATTTTCTCTTCAGCTTATTAATAACCTATTTCTTCGTTAGGTGTATTTTTTTTACTGATTACTTGTAATAAAAACTTATTGTAAAAAGTAAAGTAACAGCCTATACATGTCCCACTGCTGGGCAAAGGCCTCCTCTGTACAGAGGGTATCAGGGCATTTTTGTAATTGTGACCACAAAATTTTATACTCAAAGTTAACTAGATTTTGAGGATTTCCGTACTTACATTAATAGTACATAAATAATTTTTGATTAACATAATTTTAGTCTTGATGTTACTATTATCATGTACAAGGTGGCTTTTCTAAAGGTGCCCAAATTTACACAGAAAGTTCTGACTCGGTATCATAATCGTTTATTGAAATAAAAACAAACTTTTTTTTTTCAAAAAATTGCCATTCCATGTTCCCTAAAAGACAGAGCTTGTTGACAATGGTAGTCTTTCGTAAATGCCAAAATACTTTTATATATCTGAAAATAATGATAAATCCGTCGTATACTTTTGAAACGAATTTGTTTGCGTGTTAGTTATTAATGATCGCGCATAAAATAAATGAGTTGCCCATAAATCACGCACATTTTCAGATAAGTTCAAATGAATGTAATTAACTAATTACGAGTGATTTTAAATATTTATCATTTTTATATAACATTATTTATGGCTAGAATTTAATTAAAAAAAAATGGATACACTTAGAAAAACCTCCCTGTATAGGGTGTTAGTTTAAAAGGATGGTCATGACTTCAATTTCATCCTGTATAGCCTTATACGCTTTGCCTCGAGATTTATTAAAGTTTTCTAAGTAATACCTTTAGTACGATAAAATTACACAGGCGGCCCTGTTTATATTATTCTCATCGAAGGGACTTCCGTTTCTAGAGTTTCGCCGCTACTGTATTCTCGGTATTAAGAGACAGCTAATATATTGTAAAAATAAGCGTGTGTACAGATTATCTAGTCATTCTACAGTCTCCAACCAATGAAACAGGAAAAAGTTGGGGAAGAAGAGAAAAACTCGACATAAGTTGGGCAATTTAGTCTATGATGGAATTACGTAATAAACTAGCATGGAATATTTTTCTCTTTGTCTATAGTCCCTTTTCGTCTCTATATTTTACCATTTATGTGTATATAAATTTGTCTAAAATCAATATATTCTATCTAATAAATAATTACTTATACTAAAGTTGTTTTATTTAACTTTGTGAACTCAGAAAATTATTTCCGCCACTGCCTGTTTGACTAAAAACTGCTCAATTAATAGAATAATGACACGAGATATTTTTAACCATATGGATGTCATCGAAATGGAAGGCTGGACCGATTTTAATGTTTTTTTTTTGTCTTTAGGTCGATTCAAGAATGGTTTAGATTCACAATTATTATTTTTTTTATTTCTAAGTTGTTGTCTGATTAATCGCGTGCAGGCGTCTGTTGGATCCGCTATATAGTATAAATATAATGCAATAATTCATTTCAACTTTTATTAACATTTGAATGTCAAAATAATTTTTCAATTTGAACATTTTACAATGTCATTATTTTTTTTATTTTCTCCTATTGATCGCACAATCTGGTCGTCGTTCAGAGATGGCTGGCTGACGAGAATAAGGAAAAACCCAATGGTTTCGAGCAATCTCAATGGTGACCGTTAGAGCTGGGTGAGGTAGCCGGGGTCCACTTTATTAAAAGGTTGCAACGCATCTACGAGTATTGCCAATGTTCAGGGCAGCGGTTGTCACTTGTCATCAGGTGAAACGTCAGCTCGCTTGCCCGCTTTTCATATCCTGTCATGAGCCTATCATCTTGAACATGAGCGAAAACGGGTGCAAATGACACAACGAGATACATACAATAATATAATTTATTCCAACTTAACGGCTAAAATTCACAATTACTTGCTAGCTAGAGAAATAAAATTACCATCAATTATACGAAATATATTAGTTTATTTGAGAATATAAATTTCTATCGCGGCGCGAGTTGTGTGATAACAGTCAAAAAAAAAACAAACAAAAATGAAAAAAAAAATAAAATCACAAAAACAAAATTGCATTTAGAAATACTTGTGTGTTCGTTTGTACAAAATATAAGAACCCCGCGAGATAGGGTGTGTTTGAAAATACCAGTTATCTGACAAACTCGCACAAATATACAATGGATGCCATAATTATGTAAGTTTCATCGGTTACGCAGTTAACTTGTACTTAACAAGCGAGTACTAGCGATTATGTCGACTCGACAATTATCAACACACCCGCACAGGCTTATGAATAATGTGCGAAATCACTTTAGAAATTAGTGCTATTTACAGTTAATAACTAGTAAGCGTAAATTTCTCGAGGGTCTGTGCTTGGAAATCCCATCAGGAGTAAAAAAAAACTTCATTTGGGTGGGCCACAATGTCGCTCGAATAGATTTGTTCGACTGAGGGAAAGGTAAACTGGAAAGTCGATTAAAACTGCGAGTAACTTAGCAGATAACCAAATACAGCCATTAGCGATGTGTTCAATCATTTATAATCTGTGTAATTACGAATATTTCAACAAACCAAACCCCCACGCCATCCAAATCTTTTCCAGCGACTTTTGGAAAGACTTTATGAAATTATATCATCTTTAATTCACAATTTTCTTGGCATTCCTTCGCGCACCAAACCTCGAACGGCAAATATTGTTCAATGAAAATAAAAATAACTAACTTAGTCAATAGAATATATTCGAACTTTTCTTTAATCGTTAGTCATAATTTTTCTCCGTTAAATAAAAAAATAACTAAAAAATAATAATAATAAAAATTCTTTTTCTTCAACTTACATAAAAACTATATCGAAGCGTAAAAATAATATTGCCATTAAGAATAAAATATTTCTTCCTTACAAACCAACAGGGATTAGAGAAATTTGGCTCGATCATGTTCACGGCACAGTGTAAGACAAATCATAATATTTTTTATATATTTACATAGTATTGTAACATATTTATTAACACATCGCCACAATAACTTATAGAAACAACGCCTACACGATAAAAATTTTCGTGCCATCGGGCTCTTTTGCAGGGACAAGGCAAAGACAAATTTGCTATCGAGCCAAAACATTCAGGAAAATAAACCGTTACAGAAGTGGTATTAAAAATAAATATATCTATAAGATGTTAGAAAAAATCTTTTTTAAAAAACGTCTACTTCTGCAGATAAATGAAGAACATTCCTTATTTTTCCGAGTGGTTTAAAATAGATTATAACAATAAAATTAAAAAATTACAGTTGACGTCAATCATGAAAATCAATGGCTGAAAAGTGTTTTTTTTAAGTCTTATTTTTAACGCTTCAACCAGATATCATTTAAGTTATATAGGAAACTAATACTCGACCTTTATAAGTAGTCCTAAGCAAGAATATTTAAAACTGAAAATAAAAACTCAATTTTTTCTATATATTTCTTACCATCTCTACATTATCGAAGTTTAATTTTATCGAAATTGCGGATTAGTCATTGACGTTGACAGTTGTTTTCGCGCCAAAAAGCATTTTTTTTTTAATTATTGAACTAAAACACGTGTGTTCTACTAAACGATTTTCGCACACTGCTGTCTCTTTCCATTAGTTTCGCCTATCTTTTCATTTAATTAAGCTTAATTATTTACAAGTATTAAACTATCTTGGGTTCAAACACGGCACTCAGTGTGAGGTTAAAGCTGGGTACTAGCGTTATTAGTTTGCCTTAATTAAACGCGGGGCGATATATTCAACACTTAATTTATAATCTTATTAATAGTTATAAGTCGTAATATTATAGAACTACGATCTATGAAGGTAGGTTATTCCTAACATTGCCCATGGAGTTTATTTGTGTTAGTTTTAAAATACTTTGTATGGAACAAAGAGGTTTTGAGGTTATTTTATTGTATTTTTTTAATCCTAAAGTTATTGTTTATATATTACAGTCTTTTTAAATAAACTTTATCCATAATTTTGTTATTTTACAGGTAATGTTAATTTTAGTAATTATAATTTTCATGATATTTTTGAGAAAAGTAAAAATGGAATTATTTTTTGTATTTTTATTTTTTTTGTGTCTCTAAGAATAGGTGTAAAGCTAGTCCTATGTCTAACAATTTAAAAAAGTCAATTGGAATAACTGATTGCAGATAATTATTTGGCACCTAATAATAAATTCGACACCTACAAAAATCTAAGATTGCCCAATTTATTTAGCATTTCGAACTAAGCTCATTATTTCCTAAACATCGAAATATCCTAATAGACCCTTAGCTCTATAAAATGGCATACGATAATTATATTTAAAAGGTGGGATATTGCTTTTATTTCTATCATTTGTACTAATAACTTAATTTAATATTAGTATGGCATAATTTTTCTTCATATATTTACATCTAAAATTATAAGACATGCTTCATCAGTATTTTTGACAATTTCCTTCCGATCGAAACAACACAATTAGTCGACATGGCACCAGGACTTATTACATTATATAATATAATTCTGACCATTCCATAATAAAAGTCTGACTGTCCGAACAGACCGTAGTCGGATTCCGAACGGAAACCATGTCAAATCCACCGCATAAAAGACCGCCGCAGCATTTAACTCATAGCGCACCGAGTAGACCGGCGTTCTATTCAGTAGACCGTTGGTCTATTCAGTAGACCGACGTCTTTGAGCGTCGGCGCTTTATTGATACTGTCGGTATGGTCACTAGACAGTCTATGGGTCGACGGTCTACTGAGTAGACCGATGGCCTATTCAGTAGACCGACGACTAGGGCTGCAGGCGGAGGCGGCTGCGTCGGTGTGAAGGGGCGGCGGTGGCGGCGGTGGCGGCGGCGGCGGCGGTGGCGGTGGGCTGCAGCGAGCGGTGGCGGCGCAGCAGGTGGCGGTGGCGCGGGTCCAGCATGGCGGTGTAGCCGGGCGGCGCGCACAGCTGCGGGTGGCGCTGGTAGAAGGCGCGGTAGCCCTCGTGCAGCAGGTACACCTCGGGGTAGTGCAGCGACGGGTAGCGCTCGCGGTTGCGCGCGCGGTCGCTCGAGCGAAGGTAGCGCGATCTGCGAGAGGGGATCGACTCATTATGTTTGTGGGTAGACACTTGACATATGACTAATCTATTATTCCATATAATGTTAGTTGATCACGTCGGCAGAAAACAGAAACAAACGGAAATGTAGCCAATTATTAAATAACATTTAAATATGGCCGCCTGTTACTTTACAATAAATGTATTGAATAAATATATATAAATAGTAATTATTTATTTATTTGAATATAATTATTTACTATCACAACATTAATGAATATGGAAATGGAAACTTAATTCAAAGTAATTATCGCTTTACTGTGACACAGAAATTTTTAAATACGGATTGATCCACCCTGTAAGGGTCTACTCAGTAGACCGTTATAAAAAACACGCATTTTATCCACACTCACAATTTGGGGCCTCTTTCGAGGGAGAACTCGCAGTGGAAGACGAGGATCTTCCGTTTCTCGTGCGGCTCCCTAGGCTCCAGGGGCTTGCTGACGAGGGTCAGGATCTGCGCGGGAGTGTACAGGTTAACCGCACCCAGGATATGTCCACCTTCATACTCGTAGGGATATCTGCAGTCTATCACCTGGAAAAGATAACAATATTACCCCAATTAGCAAATTATTAATAATAAAATGGTAAAATAAAAACATTATTGACAGTAGCCCTAGTTAACTCTGACATTAAGATGTGAAAGAACTCAGTCTGTCCCGTAACCATGAACACTGGAAATCGTTCGAAACGTCGGGAATTTAAAAATCTAGAAGGCTGTGGGTTCTGGTTACAAATCTAGTGCGGGAGTAATATGGCCGATCGGGTCTACTCAGTAGACTTCGGAGCTGATCGAACTTCTCAGACAATCTCATCGATACACTTGCGGTCTTTGGCGCAGAGCGTCAAGTCGGTGAACCCTGACCCTCTCCACCTCGTTGTCATAATCCAAGACTCGAAGATCCCTGAAGCAGAAACTAGTCGAAGAACCTTGACCCGTATCTCCGTCTCGTGGTCGAAGGTCCCCAAAGTTGGGTTGGCGGCCCGCAGAGGGTCTAGGGTTGGTCAACCCTGACCATCTCCACATCGTGATCGTAGTCCAAGGTCCCAAAGTTGGTTTGGCGGCCCGCAAAGGGTCCAGGGTTGGTCAACCCTGACCATCTCCAGCTCGCGGTGCTAGTCCAAGGGTCGAGGGTCCCCACCTGGAAGTCGGCGACGCTCTGCTCGAACTCGCCCCTCAGCAGGGCGGCGAGGGTGTCGCACGAGATGGACTTCAGGTCCGGGTGGTCGCCGCTGGTCAGCGGCAGAGCGAACGGCAGCGAGAAGTCGCCGATCAGGTCTGGGTCCACAACGGCTGCAACACCGTTGACTGCTGTTAGCGGGTGTGTCCACGGAGGATGCGGGGGTTCCCCACACCAGATAGGAACGAGGACCCAATTACGTAAGAGAAAGTGTGGTAACGGTGCCACGGCCACGCAACTCTGTTGCACGAATGGGCAGCTCCGCCCGGGTAAGTACCATGACCTGACAGAGGCACGCCGTAAAGTCCACGAGCGGTTATCACTTAACATCAGGTGTACCGCCAGGTCGTTTGCCACTTCCTCACATAAGAAAAATAAGGTTCCTTCCCCAGGGAAGAGGAGTGTAGGAATGTCTAATCATGAGTAAGCCATTAGTCTGGGAGCCCAGCGTCAGGCCAAGATTGACCCATGACCAAATCCGAAAATGTTTTGCAGTTGATTATTGTGGAGAGGTTGCATTCTTTAGCCAATTTGTCAATACTTCATAGCACTAATACCCTGTTGCCTTTTGGGGCCAAATGAGGATTGTAATGGGATACTTGCCAATCTTTAAAAATAGTAGGCTTCGGTTACGTAACTCATAAGATTATCAACATAATACTTCGACTTCAGACTGGCCTCTGATGTCTTCCAACCCGGATTGAGCCTGTCTGTTCGTGCAACGGGAAACTGTTGCATGATCCTACCGTAGATAATAAATCACTCGAAGGGTCACTTACATCTTGCCAGGGCAGACATAATGGAGGCGTTGTTCTCCGAATAGGCCCTTTGCAGCACCGGCCTCTGCGGCCTCTCCACCTCCGGGCTCTGGCAGTTGGACTTCCTCCGCTTGCAGTTGCTATCGGACTCGTTCCTGTCGCCTCGCTTCTGTGACCTCTTCTGGTCTGGGCTCTCCGATATCGAGAATAGGGAGACCCTGGCTCTAGAAGCCTCGGGGTTGAAGCTCAGGCTCCTGTGCACGGTGGGCCGCCTCAGGAACTCCTCGCTCACCACGGACTCCTTGATAGCGCCGGACAGCAGCTCGTTCAGGTTGGCCATCTTCGGGGAAGTGGAGGCTTCATCCAGCTCCAGGAACGGCTCTTCCAGCTCTGATGCGAAGCCGCTCTCCATTGACGCTGTAGACTCTGACGGGAACCTCACTTTGGGGCAAGGCGAGGGCACGCTGATGCCGGAATCACTCCGCTCTGCCAAGCCCACTTTGGTGGGGGTCTCCGTGAACTTGAGCGACTTCTTCACCGAGCCCCCGCCCCCCGCCGGCCTCTTCGCCGCCGGAGATGTGAACTCGAAACTCTCGTCGAAGTTGAGCATCCTGGTGGCGTTGGCGTTCGGCCTGTTGAACGAAGTGGACGCCTCGCTGTCCGCCAGCGGAGCGCCGAACACGAAGCCCCGCGAGCTGATCTTCCTCGAGCTGGGCCGCCCCCTGGATATGATGTTCGGGCTGTCCGTGGAGATTATCTCGTACTTGGAGCACTCGTCGAAGTTGTCCGCGTCGAACTCCTCCTCCAGGTCGTGCAGAGTCTCGAAGCCCGTGTCCAGGTCCGGCTCCAGGTCCTTCTCCGGCACGTACATGTCTTGCAGCAGGGGGCTGGGCTCCTTCTCGTACGACTTCTGTGGCAGCGCATCGGTGAAGTCCAACTGAAAAGAACAGGAACATGTTGCTATGACATTCATATTTAATATTGTTGTATGTGACTAATATGTAACGTTATATAATTCATTGGCTGAAAAGGGATCTTCTATTTGAAAAGATGATTTCAAAAGGTTAATGTCACATTTTTTTATAACAATATTTATTTATCTAAGCTTATTTCAAAAAGCTTAACTAACTTTTCTGGTTGTACTTTAGTTCGTATAACATAAATGCTTTGTCAACGACTTGAAACAACTGTTTCTGCATAACTACATCTTCAATAAATGTCATAGAAATAACAATTCAAGCAGCTTGCTTCTGTTAGGTACACATTGCGGAGACAAAAAGGAATATAGGTAACACATTATTTTTAAAAATGCTTCAATGTTTTCTCGATTATATTCGAATGTATAGTTTTTCAAAGATTTGACATTCATGTGGATAATATTGGAAATTCATAACCCCCATCTAATCTAACCTGCTGGATAACAAATTGAAGTATTTGTATTTTTGAATCACCACACCAGCGTTAAAGTGAAAAAATAAATACACATACATACCTTTGTAGTGCACCAATTGGGGATTTTCTGCTCCGTGCACATTAAAGACCTGAATGTCTCACCGAAGGAGCAGTCTCGCGTTTCCTCCTCCATATCCAACTTGACAAACGTCTCACTGATATTCGGACTCTCGTTTTCTTTATTTGACATCCTGAATTTTGTTCTCTCCTCGAATATCTTAGATATTTTCGTCGAACTCCGCTTCGTTACTCTTTCTGAACGACTTGTTAATGGCGATAGTGCGTTACGGTCTATTAATGGGGACTTCTTGCGCTCTAATGGAGAGCTTTTGAGTCTTTCAATTATTGGCGATTTAATTCTGTCTATGATAGGAGAGTTTTTGGTGAAGAGTGGAGAATTCTGTATTTCCCCCAGCACTCTCCGTTTCGTTGGTGTCGCAATGGGTGAGTTAAGTGGTGACTGCGTCCTATTGAAGTCTAACGAATGTGGGTTCATTTTCAATTTGTAGTTTGTGGTGTGTGCCTCGTTCTGCTTGCGTTTCTTGGCGCTGTTGCCAGAATTTATTTTGAAGCTCTCCGTTATTAACCTGGAACAATGGGAGAGCAATTAATTAACTTTGGTGATTCTGAGTCCATTAGATTTATATTGCCAATTACTGAAATAACAAATTAATAAGAAAATTATCTATACATTTAATAAAACTACTGAAGTATGCAATTGTACCCAACTTTTTAATCTTAAAATACCAGAGAGCAAAATAATAAAAGATCTACAGACTGCATAAATGTTTCTATAATTGCAGAAAACCTTATTGAAAGGAACAACAGAACAAAGAAGACTGCTCTTGTATTATATATTAGCAAAGTCACAGAGCTAAAAATTATTAAACAACATATGGAGTGTGCAAAATTATAACTTACATTAGGAACATAAACAGAATCATAGTTTATTTATTTTGTTTAAATAACGTGAAATTAAAATAAAACTCATAAGGTCTTCATTACATTACTTAATCCATAATATGTTCATTTTGAAAAATAAAATTAACATTATATTTATGAAGGAGCGCAAGACGCATCGATGGCAGTCCACGGCTGTCTGAATCGGAGGCTACGTTAAAGATAACAATGTATTTCGGTTTTAGTTAGGGGCGACACCACAATACGATTTTTTTCCGACCTTCTTTATATTAGGGAGTCGATATAAGCTATCTTAAGCAATAAATATCCCGGATAACTGGTTCCACGTACCTCCATGCCCTTTCGTGAGCCCCGAACACCACATTGTAGAATAATTCGGAGTTCGACACACAAAGAATACTGTTCACCAAAGGTTATGAGAAATTTTCAAATTCTGGAGCGCGAACTGAAATTCCCATGCGAAATGAGGAATATAATGCCGCTAGCCCGATTTTTAATGCTCCATTTGATAACAAGTAACGATTATTAGTAGAATTCAGGTAGTTTCGAAAACATATGACTAGACTTGCAGTTGCTTGAAACAAATAATTCGCGCGCAACAAGCTGACAGGTGACAGCTGACTTTAGCAGGCCGCCTTGCGTTGCGGAATAGTGGTTCTTTGCAAATGTCAAAAAAAGCGAGGCATCTTCATTAGACGTAAAACTAACAACTAGAACTGTTAGGTAATTCAAAATAAATGTATTTGAAATTATGTTTGTGAAATTTGATGATTGTGTTATGTTTATATGATTCTTTTATGTCTGTTAAAAATCCTGCAAGTATTCGCGAAATTCAATTAGTATTATTTAAACTGAATTTAATTTCAAAAGGTAAAGAAGAGCCATGCGTAATAAACTATGTTGTGAAACTTATACATACCATCAAAGTTTAACGTTACCAACCAGAGCAAGTAATTAACATTTATCGGACCACAAAAAACGTTAAGGTGAATGGTAACACAACGAAACAGATTTGTATAATCTCGCATATTTTTAACAATAGTTAAGTGGCGCATAATAAGTAAATCGGTCGTCTGATCAATATTCAGTAAATTAAAGCGACTCTGAGGGATGAGGGGCGTCTTAATATTTGTATGAATAATATATACATTTAACGGTTCAGTTTTGACGGGTATTTATCGTTATTTTCATTTAAAAAGCCAAGTATATTTACTATATGACTCTAGATGTCGAGAAAAAAGGGTGTGTTATGTTTTAGTTCTACAATGATAGAAAATAAAACTCAGCCAATGTAAGCTCGATTTCTTTCCATACTTCTTTAAATACATTTTCAAAATCATCAATAAGGTATGCTACACTGAGTTAGTGCCTTAAAAAAATAAAAAAGGCGACAGGATTATTCTGCCTTGTACATAACACGATAGTGCAATGCAAGCGTCAAGCCAAGACGCTACCGCTCCGTCTCGGCCATTCATATCCCACCCTAATATTTCAACAATGGCGCTCATTGCTTGCACTCGACATTATCAAAACGCATGGGTTTTTTTGCCGAGTTAACGGCACAGTCGCGCAGACAGACAAGGGGCTTTGTGCTTGTACACAGGTCAAAGAACAAAACATCACTTGAGGTCTTCCTCCTACCGATTTAAATTGCATTGTGATACGGAAAATAGTTTAATTATAAATTTAAGTATTCACACACGAACATGGTCACAAAAATTAGCATCAAAAGCGCTTATGAAATCTTAGTAAGATTTCTTTAGTATATTATCACTCAAGGGCTTGTGATATTGTTATCTGGTCTTGTAATCCTCTAAAAAGACGTTTCCTCATTCATCAGACGTTCATCTTTTTTTAATTCTCAGCTGATGCAAAATCTATCGTTATTTTACTTCACAGCGGCAGAAAAGTTGCCATTGCTGCTTTTAAAAATGGCTTCTTTGTGTGTTGCTGCAAATATGGACTGTGACAGACAGGAAAATCCGATAATGGCGGGAAGAGATAAATGTATTTTTTTTTTCTTTAAATAAATTATTGTCGGTTGTTTTGAAGATTATCACTCAAATGTAGAAACATTACTATTGTTTTGTTTATTTTAATGTCTGAACATTTGCTCAACTTTTATTTGTGTAAATCTTATTAAAATGTGGGAGTATACTTTTTTTAGTTGCAAAGTAGATAAAACAAAATTTATAGATAAATAAAAGTAAAAGACATAATATAGTCGATTAACGTAGAGCATAGTGAACCTGTCATTTATCCAGACGGCGCGGGTTCGATCCCTACTACTGGAAGAATATCGTGTGATGAGCATAGTTTTTTTCTAGTGTTTGGGTGTTTACATGTTCATTGTGTACTTATTTACAAAAGTTATCCGAATTAATGTTTATCAAGTATCTACAAGTACTTCTATATCCTTGTGTATAAATATTTATTTAGTAGTTTTTGTTGAACCTTTCGGCCGTTTGGGTTAATTTAACATAATTTACTTTTGTTGATACAACGTTAAACGGTTCGCAACAGACTGTAGACAATATATAGTTAACATACTAATTAGATTTTGATGCTTAATACAAATTAAAAAACTAAAAACTTTCATATTGGCACATTTGTAAAATTTACTGAATTATATACAGTTTACTAGCGACCCGCGCTGGCTTCGCACTTGAATCACACACTTGAATCAGTCTACCTAGTAAAAAAACCGCATCAATATCCGTTGCGTAAGACTTAAAGATCTAAGCGTACAAATGGACAGACAGTCAGCGGGACGACTTTGTTTTATACGTGATTCGTTCCAATATTAATACTCTTTGTTTGCGACCTGTCAGTTTTCTTCAAGTCAATTGCATGAAACCGTCCAACGATCGATTCCAAACCGCCGTATACGTTTGTCAGGGTAATTTGCGTCGTGATGTTACCATTTTAAGGTATAAAGTACAAACGCTCTTTCGGGCTATGAGGGGGGAAATTATTCAAATTAGCCGGTACGTTGGGGCCTTTATGGTTTTTCGGTTGGCGTCGAGTGCTGCATCGTCGGGGCTTTGTGCTGCGGTGCACTGAGGGGCCAGTTTGGGGGTCGTTTGCCCCTTGGATTAATGACGCGCTTCGCTGTCTTCAGCGACGTCGGACAGATCGTTTCAACCGATCCGATGGAACCGGTAACGTGCAACTGTTAATTTCTTAAAGGGTATCAAAGACGCGATGGCTCAGTGAGCAGGGCCCTCGCTTTTAATTCATTACACTGAAGCAACCCAAGTTGAAATCCCGGTGCTGGCAGTAATGAAATCGTCAATTTCGAGTGCTGAATTATCAAGTGCTCAGCGGTTAAGTAAGACATCGCGATAAACCTACATTCGAAAAGTTAAAAAAAGAACAAATTTCGAAGATATGTGAATGTATTACCGAAGTCGCTTGGTGAACTCGGTCCTTATACACTGAAATTATTTACTTTCATATTTGATGATTGTATGCTGTAAAGGATAACAATTGATGTGCCAAGCATTGCTTCCAATGCTAAAAGCAATGTAGATAAAAGACGTTAAGATTTCCGTCGTGTGGCAATCACCGAAGATGTGGGTTCGATTCTCACAGCGACGAAAAAATGTTTGTACTTTTTTTAATCTACAAATATTATTGTCTTATCTAGAGTGAAAAGATTAACACTATCTAAAATATAAAAATTAAATAATGGAAGCAAACAAAAACTAAGAACAATTTTCCAATCAAACCCACGACTACTGCCGCCGATGACAGAAGCTAATCATTGATACCATGAAGTTATACCTCGTGTATTGATAGACACAGCATTGCTTCAAATGCTAAGAAAATAATGTAGAAGAATGCGTTAAGATTTTCGTCGGTGTGGTAATCAGCCGCTTAGCTCAGTGGCTAGAGCGTCAGGCCGCGAATGCCGAAGACGTGGGTTCGATTCCCACAGCGGCGACAATCTTTTCGCACTTTTTCTACATATTTTAAAGACACAGGATTGTCGTTGGCTGTACTGTCACGTCTATATATAGCGAAGGTCGCAGGAAGTGCCGTGCCTTAGACGATTAGGCACAACGGATTCCCAAAGTTTATGTTTCACTTCCCCGCTTAAGAACACTGAAGCGTCTGCGAGTGATACCTTTGGAATTTTTGAAACTATATACAAAGACGATTAGATGACGCCGTGGCGCAGTTGCCGAGGTATCGGCTTCGGCTGCGGGGGTCGTGGGTTCGATCCCCACACGGGACTACAATTTGTTGTTTACGTGAAATTTATGTTTGTAAAGTTATGTTTGTTTGTAACGTTAGCCTAAAATAAGGGCAAAAAAAAAAACAAGGTAAATATGACACTAGGGCACAGAAACTGAGCCCCTCAAATTACGTCAGTTCACATTGCAACTCTATAGACTGCTATCTCTTTCCTTATCATACGCTCTTTATCATCTGTCACATTTGCTTATATATGTCATATAATGTAAAGCGGAACAGTTTTAAACGCTGCACAGTATGGACGTAAGTTTTTTTTTTTGTGAGAAAGTGGCAAACGAGCTGGCGGTTCACCTGATGTTAAGTGATAGCCGCCGCCCGTGGACATTGGCAACACCCGTAGGGTTGCAGATGCGTTGCCACCTATGAATAAAGTGGGCCCCGGCTACCTCACTCACCAGACGAAAGGCAAAAGTGCAACACTTCTACTTTACGCCGGTCTTCTGTGAGGTTAATCTCTATTAAAACATCGCTGCTTTGAAAAGTCTAAATCTACGGTCGATTTGAACGAGAAAAAACCGTTTAAAAACTTTAAAGTTAAACGGATTTATTTTATGTGCACTGAAAACTACAATATCGTATTGTCATCTGAATTAAATGTGTGTACCAAATTTCAGATCAATCTGACAACGGGAAGGTGCTTAAATTTCAATTACTAATTTTGACCCAAACAAATAAATTCCGCACGGGTCGAGCTAAATAAAACCGTTTAAAAATCACTAAAAATTCTCATATACACTACTAAAACTTCTTTTAACAGTGCATGTGAGCATCATTCACTTATTGTGTAATAACTCTAAAGGCCCATTTACACGATGCCATTTTGTTGAACATACAAGAGCAATAATTGAATGCAATAAATTGCGCGCAATAATTGTTTAGACAATTTCTTGTTTAGACCATGCAACTCATTTATTGCTTCAATTTAATTGTATACAACAGGCAAGAAACTGGCACCGTGTAAATGGGCCTTAAGGCAGTGCTCTAAGTACCGTCCTTTGACACGAGATATCCTAGTTCCACAGTCAGGACATCATTGATGAACCACAAATAGAGAACTAATATACAGCGTGTCTTTACAACCGCGAATAAATTAACACACGTCTAACGCTACTTGTCAAATCATGAAAAAATATTAAACG